ATATTCAATCGTCATTCATTAATCAGTTAACTGTAAGGACTGTAAGGTTGGTTGTATTGCATGATGGGATACATTTTGGCAAAAGTAATAGAAAATTTCAGTATGCATAGTATGCATACTGCAAAAATGTAATTAGTAGTTTGGTAGCAGTGTTTATTATTGTTAACTACAACTATTAAAAATAGGTCATTTAAATTAAAACATAAATATTAAATTAAAAAACTTAAAAATTGATTTTAAAAATTAAATTTAAAAAAAGATTTAATGAAAATTAGAAATGTTGCCTTCACTGTAAAATCCAGTAGTTTACCTTACTTAGATTTAATTAGTTATCTTTACTTAGTTGTTATAGGTTTTATGTTTTATTAAGTTACAGCTACTTTTAAGGCAAATAAAACAATTGACTTACTGTTTTGAGTACTTCAAATAAAATATTTAAGTAGCCACAAAGGAACCAATGACATTAATAAAGCAGTGAGAGGCAGCAGTGCACTATGTTGCTAATGAGCAACATAACAACAGAAGAAGAAGAAAAGAAAAAGAGTCTTAATAAACTTTTCATCCATTTCCTCCATGTCTGCAGTTATCTTTCACTAGTTGCATTCACTCATTTCCCAAAGTCATCTTGAATGTTGAATTTTCAATACAACTGAAATATTTGAGAGAACATCACATAAGCTAACTTCATAAATTGATGTTGATTTTCCTAAAATGTGTTTTTTTTTTTTTAACTCACCATTATAGTGAGGAGCGTTCCCTTTGGTTGGGCACTTGGACCTTCGTTTATATTACTATAATTTTTTTCCTTTTAATGCAGCAATGCATCATGAAGTCAGAGTTATTTGACTTCAAGGGAAGGAGAGTAATAAATAGGTTGCTTTTAGAGAGTGACATATCTTCTAATTAAAGCATTAGTGTGTTTTTTGTGGTTTTTTAATGAACTTTTTCAAGAGATGTTTTTCATAAATACCTTGAGATGCTTTTAATTGGGTATATATAATCCTTAAACAGTGTGTGGTAATATGCTGAAGTCACACACAGACTTAAACATTCAGCACGTGAATCACAACAATGGTAACAATTCAATTTCATTTATTTTCATTAACTGTAACAATAACCATTTTATTTGTTCTTTTTGTTGTGCTACTTCTGACACAAGACAGCAAATAAAATTGGCAAATAAAATCAACAACTGTAAAACAAAGCAACTGCATAATTTATTCATGCCGCAATGCACTCTGGGAGTCAGTGAGTAGCTATACTAAGTCATGAGTAAACCTAAATGAAAGGATCAAGTACCCCCTACAGTTCTTTTTTAGTTACTAGAACTCTCGTGTAAGTAAACTATACTAACTAAGCATTTGTCAGTACAACATACTACTCTTATTTCACTTTACTTCGTTTTTTCAAGGCAATCGGTTTCCATGCTTTTTTTAAGTAATCCCAACTAATTCGATTTTACAGTGTTGAAAAGTAAATGAAATATGTTTACTGAAATTACTATAACAAACTTTTTTTTTTTTAATAAAAAGCTTATTAGAAATGTTTAAAAATAATAATAAAAATGAATAAAAAGCACACAACAAAATGACTAAAACTTAAGCAAAAATTAAAATGAAAACTGAAAATATAAAAATAAAAGCTAAGTCAAAATATGAATAAATACTATAATAGTATATAAATAATACTAAAATAACACAGTGGTAGTTGGCTATTTTAAACATTGTGCCATTGAGCACTATACAAAGTATAATATCAATAAATGAACTTTTCCACGACATTCTAATTTATTGAGATGCACCTGTATATCCAGTAGTCCTATGCATTAGTGCCTTAATGGCAAGGACACTCACTCTTTTTCCTCTGTTGATGTAGGAATCAGCCCAGGTCAGGAGTTCACTGCTGTAATTCATGCCACCTCACCTCTGGTCTCCCAGTCTCAGCCAATCATGAAGCTCCTTCAGGTCGTCTCCAAGTCAAAATACTGCTCACAGGTACTGCACTGTCAGTATTTATCTCTACAATATTAATCTCTACAAACATAAAGTAGCACCTGTTGCACCACTAAGGAATGACCTTTTGTTCAATGATATCAATGCAGATCCACATCAGTTAAGTGTTAATATAGTTGGACACTGAGAAAAGCCAACAACAAGACACATCAACCAGTTTGGTGTGCATGCTGTGATAGTGTGTGCTCTTGTTTGGGTTTCTTGTCAGATCATCATCCTGTGGAACAGTGAGAAGCCGCCCCCTCACCGGAGTAAATGGCCGCCTATGCCAGTGCCCCTTATCATCACAAATGGAAGAAGGAAAGTGAGTATTCAAGTGAGAGAACAGTCAAGTCATGTCTGTGAGCTGTGGCGAGATCTTGTGCTCTCTCACTCAGCTCTTTTCTCTGCCACCTTCTGTGTTCACAGACAAGCAGCCGTTTCCTGCCACATGCAGCTATTGAGACAGAGGCAGTTTTGAGCCTGGATGAAGACACGGTGCTGTTGACCAGCGAGGTATAGAGTCTCACCTTCATCCTGCACATTTTTTTCACTTTAATCTATTTTAAATTATACTTTCATTTATTTATTAAAATTATCATCATTTTGTTTTTAATATTGCATTTGACAAGTCCTGACAAGTGCTCCAGTCCCTGCTGCAGAGAAACACCCCCATAACAGGATATTACCTCATCCATGCTTTACTGTAGGAATGCTGTTATTTGGATGGTGGATTTCTGCCAGACATATCTTTTGGTGTTGAGGCCAAATAATTCAACTTTAGTCTCGTCTGCCTCAGAATCTTCAAGGTGTGTTTTGGCAGAGCTCAGTCATGATGACTGCATGTGGCCTTTCTTGAGGAGTGGCTTTTTTCTTGCAACCCTCCCGTACAAGCCACATTTGTGGAGAATTTGTGATATTGTTGTCGCATGCATACAATAAAGTCCTTCAACTGCTTCAGAGTTGCTGTAGGCCTCTTGGTCACCTCTCTGACCAGTTTCCTCCTGGCTCTTTCATCCAGTTTGGAGCAACGTCCTGATGCAGGGAGGGTCTGTGTTGTACCAAATACCTTCCACTTCCTTATAATAGACTTGACTGTGCTTCTAGGCATTGATAAAGCCTTTGAATTTTTTTGTATCCATCTCCTGACTTGTGCCTTGAGGACTGATGTGTCACTAACTGAGGATTGAGGATTTGAGATACACAAATTTGACCTTATTTTGCCTGAGAAGGTGATTAGCTATACCTGGTTGAGTTTACAAGTCATTTTTAGGAGGGGGTGATCCTTTTTCCAACTTAAGCTACGTCCACACGAAGCCAGAGCTTTCCCTATCCGATATTTTTTTTCCCCTCTGTCTCAAGAAATATCTGCGTCCACACGAAACCACAAAACCGACACAAAACGATGTAGTATACATGCCAGACCAGCATGTGGCACTGTAATTCTGCCACAGAGATAAACTAAAAACAGAGAAGACGACTTGGACTATGCGCATAAACCTTGCGCCGCCGGATCCGTGTGGACGAAACGCCTATATGATACAAAATGTATGTGTATTCAGCTAAACGCGTCTCTGTGTGGACGGGGCCTTAGTGATTCATTTTTGTTTTTTTTGTTTTTTTCTGAGATTGTTATATCTTTCACTTGGATATTATTATATATTTTTATATTCTTTGTTTTTTAATATTTTGAATTGGTTTTGATTTTTATATTTTCCATTTAATTTTAGTTTAGTTTTAGTAATTGTGTTGTGTATTACTTTCATTAAAAAACTTTTTTATTTATTTTTATTTATTTTAGTTGGCCTACATCAAGTTAATGATATATATAAAACATTTATATCTTATATTCTATATTCATTATATTGAATATAGAATATATGAATATTCTATATCCACTATATTCTTATACCTTATATTCATTTATATTCTTTTCTAATTTTGTTTTTTATCTAATATCTTCTGGCTGATGCCCTAGGTCATAGAAAGAGTCGAAACTAAATAAAATCAATCAGATTACATGTGATTACATTTTGACATGTGACAAGGCTAATTCATGTTTTTCCTCTCTAATCTGACACTTCCAGATCGATTTTGCTTTCCATGTGTGGCGGAGTTTCCCAGAGAGGATTGTTGGCTACCCTCCCAGAAGCCATTTCTGGGACCCTGTAAAAAAGGCCTGGGGCTACACCTCTAAATGGACCAACGAGTACTCCATCGTCCTCACCGGAGCGGCGTTTTATCACAGGTATAATTGGCTGCAGCTGACATATCCTGACAAGACACTGTGTATTGATGTCTCTCACGCTTCATCAAGCTCTCTAACGTGATCAGCGGAGACAGTGCTCTTGATTATGTGTTGATGTCTTTGTGCCTCACAGGTACTACCATCACCTGTTCTCTCACTACCTGCCCTCCTCTGTGCGTGCGCTGGTGGATCGCACCTCTAACTGTGAGGATATCCTGATGAATTTCCTGGTCTCCTCTGTGACACACCTGCCACCGATTAAAGTAGCGCAGAGGAAGCAGTACAAAGAGATGCCCACCCTGCAAGTGAGTCTAAAGACAACATTTTGTACTTACAATTCTGCTCATACCCCTTGCAAAACATGCGATATCTTAATTTTAACAGAATAAGCAGATTCATAAAATTGCATGTTATTTTTATTTACTAATGTCCTGAATTTGCAGTTTCACAAAACAGATGTTTACATATAGTCCACAAGACAAAATATAACAGAATTTGCACAAATAAGCCAGTTTAAAGGTTTACATACCTTTGAATCTTAAAGGTATAGTTCACCCAAAAATGAAAATTCTGTCATCATGTACTCACCGTCATGTCGGTCCAAACCCAAGATGTTGGTTAGTCTTCTAAAGAGAAATTAAGATATTTTAATGAAACCTGAGAGGTTTCTGTCCCTCCATTGAAAGTGCAGGTACCCAAAACTTAAAAGATTAAAATAAAAAGATTCTAAAGGCATCATAAAATGAATCAATGATATACTGTACATACAGAGCTTCAATGTTTGATTCACTATGTATGTGTGTTTGTATGTGAATAAAAGTCTAAATTAAATCATAAAAAGTGACTGTATCTCTCGATAAGAGTTAGATTAAACTGCTTGATTCACCATTTTATGATGCCTTTAGAACCTTTTTTTAGATCTTTTAAGTTTTGGATGCATGGACAGGACAGGAACAGAAGCCTCTCAGGTTTATTAAAAATATCTTAATTTGTGTTTCAAAGATTTACTAAAGTCTTATGGGTTTGGAATGACAAGTAAATCATGACTGAATTTCCAGATTGTTTTGTACTTTTTAAATTATTTTTTACATTGTACTTATATTGTCTTCTCAGAAGCAATTTAACAAAGTATCTTCTGTAGCTTCTGAAAGGCAGTACTAAATGAAAATATACAAAATATGAAAAATGTACACATCCTGTTAAAAGTTTACACCCCCCTA